CTGTCCCAGGCTGAGTGACAGCCCTGCCTAAATTTAAGGCTGTGCAAGGGGAAGGTAAGCCTGAATTCAAACTCCAGCTGACACAAGGAACTTACAAGATGAAGGAAACTGGACCTTTTTCCCTGCTTGTGGCAGAAGAAAGAACCTTCCCCCATCCTCTGAAGTGCTCCTACATAACAGACACGATGCTCTGGGGTTGAAAAATGAAGAGCACGAGTAACTGACAGGACCCAGGAAAAGTCAACCATGTGAAGTTCCAACCACCCACTCACATTAGAACCAGTGCCACCAGAAAAGCACATAAGGTATTAGCAATTGGAGATTCCTCACTGAAAGGCACCAAAACACCCATTTACCATCCAATTTCTCTAGAGAAGTTTGCTGCCTACAAGGCGCTTGCATTTGTGATGTCACTGAGAGACTGCCAAGCCTGGTGAACCCTTCAGATTATCATTCATTCCTACTATTCCATGTAGGCTTTAATGATATTGCAACAAGGCAGCTTATAACCATCAAAAGAGACTATATGTCCCTCAGAGAAATGTTAAAAGGATTTGGAGCACAGGTGGTATTCTCCTTTATCCTCCCAGTCAGAGGAAGGCGTTCAGGAAGAAGGAGAAAAATTGAACAGGTGAATACCTGGCTGTCTAGCTGGCGCCATGATCAAGGTTTTGGCATCTATATGATCATGGATCTGCCTTTGAGAAACTCAGTTTGTTGGGAGCTGATGGGATTCACCTAACCAAGTGGGGCAAGAGGGTCTTCACCAACAAGCTGGCCAGAGCTTTAAACTGGACTTAGCGGGGGAAGGGAATGGATTTTTGAGTAACAGAAAAGAGCGAGGGGCTGCTGGTGTATTAGGAAGCAACAGGGAAACATTTGTGAAATGCTCCAAAGGAAATAGGGTTTGTTCTTCTAAAAAGGTGATATGGTCGATAGCCCAAATGCAGTATCTGTATACCAACGCATGTAGCATGGGTAATGAACAGGAGTTGGAAGCCACTGTGCAACTAGAAAGCCATGATCTAATCACTGTCATTGAAACTTGGTGGGATGAATCACACGACTGGACTGCTGCAATCAGTGGCTATAAACTGTTCAGAAGGGACAGGCAAGGAAGGAGAGGCGGGCAGGTTGCCCTCTATGTAAAAAATGGATTGATTGCACAGAGCTGTCTTTGAAACACAGTAATGAGCCAGGTTGAGATCTTATGAGTAAAAATTAGAGGCCAAGCCAACAAAGGAAAGCTTGTGGCTGGTGTTTATTATCACCTGACCTAAGGGAGCCTGTTGACGAACAGCCCAACCAGAGGAGAAACGTTACTGGACCTGTTGCTTACCAGCACAGATGAACTAATTAGAGATGTCAAGATTGGTGGCAGCCTGGGCTGCACTGATCATGCCCTGGTGGTATTCACAATCTTGAGGCATATGGGCCAGATGAAGAGTAAGGTCAAGACCCTGAATTTTAGGAGAGCAAGCTTTCAGCTGTTTAAGCAATTACTGGGTGGGATCCCCTGGGAAACTGCCTTCAGGGATAAAGGAGCGGAAAAGAGTTGGCAGCTCTTTAAGAACATTTTTCTTAGAGTGCAATAGCTCTCAATTCCCATGTGTGAGCAATCAGGCAAGGAAGGCAGGAGAACAGCATGGCTGAGTAAAAACCTCCTGGTCAAACTAAAGTGTATGAAGGAAATACACAGGCAGTGGAACCAAAGACATGTATCCTGGAAAGAATATAGGGATACTGGCCGGATGTGTAGGGATAGGATCAGGAAAGCCAAGGCACAGCTGGAGCTGAATTCCTGTTGTATTAAGCTTTGGTGTGGCCTCACCTTGAGTATTGTGTGCAGTTCTGGGCCCCACAGTTTAAGAAGGATGTTAAGATCCTTGAATGCATCTAGAGGAGGGCAACAAAGCTGGTGAAAGGGCTGGAAGGTATGTCCTCTGAGGAGTGTCTGAGGACACACGGTTTGTCTAGTTTGGAGAGAAGGATGTTGAGGGGTGACTTCATTGCTCTCTACAGCTTCCTGAGGAGGGGAAGTGAAAGGGAGGTGCTGATGTCTTCTCCCTTCTGTCCAGTGAGAGGATATTATGGATGCCCCATCACTGGAAGTGTTCAAGGACAGGTTGGACAGGGTTTTGAGCAGTCTGATCTAGTAAAAGATGTCCTTGCCCATGGCAGAGGGGTGGACTAGATGATCTTTGAACGTCCCTTTCAACCCAAGCCATTCTATGATTCAATGATTCTATGATATTAGACAAGCTAGACACCTACATGCACATCCTTAGCTTAACATACCTTGAGCACTGCCTGTGTGTTTCTCAAGTTCTTTTGTGCCTCTGCAGCCACGCGGTTGGCATGGCTCAGCTGGATCTCCATTTCATTCAGGTCTCCCTCCATCTTCTTCTTCAGCCGCAGGGCTTCATTCCTGCTCCGGATGTCAGCATCCTCTGCATGGACTCCACAATTCTGAGGTGGTTTCTCTTCATCTGGTCGATTTCTTCATCTTTCTCTGCTATCTTCCTGTCAATCTCAGACTTCACTTGGTTGAGCTCAAGCTGGAGGCGCAGGATCTTCCCCTCTTCGTGTTCTAGGGAGGCCTGGACAAGTGGACACAAACATTTATAACATCGATAAAGCTACTGCTTGCTTTCTAGGCAATTACAGAATATTTCAGGAAATCTCAGCTGGCTGCGCTCCCCAGCCAGAATATTTTTTAGCCATATTTCCCCATTGCTCATATTTTTAGAGCAGACACCAGTGATTATGGGCATATACCTCAGCTTCCTCCAAGGCAGCCTGGATTTCAGATTTCTCCTGCTCAATCTGCTTCTTGACTTTCTCCAGCTCATGAATTGCCTTTCCTCCCTCGGCAATCTGCTCTGTGAGGTCAGAAATCTCCTCTGCAAGGAAGGGTGAAAAGTAGCATGGTCAGGCAAAGAGCTGAATGGGGAAAGGCCCTGGTATACCAAGGTGACAGGCATCTTCTTATTACTGCAGGCCCAATCCAATTTAGTGTGTCAGATAGACAAGCTTGTGAGAAAGGCCTGCCAGGAGCAGAGGGCCAGGGACTTACGCTGCAAGTTCTTGTTCTCACGCTTCAGCGTTTCCAGGTGGTCCAAGGACTCCTCATAGGCATTCTTCATCTTAAACAGCTCCGTGCTGAGAGAGCGAGACTCCTTCTGGGAGGCTTCCAGCTCAGCCTGCGTTTCCTCATACTTCTGCTTCCACTCTGCCAGGATCTGAAGAGAAATGGGGCGTGAGTATGGATGTGGCAATCAGGAGGGGACAATCAGGGGGCAATCAGGCCCAGGAGGCCCAGGAACCCCAGGCCTGGAGCCCAAAAGACCTTGTCAAAGTTCTTCTGCTTCTTATCCAGAGCTGCGCAGGCGGCATTTGATCGCTCCACGTCAATCATCAGGTCCTCCACTTCATTCTGCAGCCTCTGCTTTGTCTTTTCCAGGGAGGCACATTTGGCATTCACAGCTTCAACGTGTTCCTCTGCATCCTGCAGGCGCTGTGCCAGCTTCTTCCTGGGAGGAGATAAGCACAGCTCATGGTTTGAGAGCAAGGGGAGTCTGTGGTGTGTGGCTGATGCGCTTTTCACAACAGGACGTTTTACCACTTCACTGAGTATGTATCCTATGCACAGATGGTGCAAGTCCTCTCCCAGAGAGGCATTGTTTTCCCAGTTCTGATTCCCAGGCTTGAACAACCAGTGTGCTTTCTGTGGCTACCATCCACAGGTTTTCTGTACTATTCTCTGGGTCAAGGGAATCTTTTCCTCTACATTTCCTAAATCACACCCTTTGGAGGGTACATTTTACCTCAGCCCTTACTCTGCCCCAAAGCACAGCTTTAATTTTTTATGACAATATCACAATTGTGTCTTCAAATTTCCCTTGTTAGCCTACCCTTTTTTTTGTCTTCCCCACTTTCCCCACATACTTGGCCTCCTCCAGCTCCTCC